CCCCAAGAGGCCCCAAGAGGCTCCAAGAGGCCCCCAAGAGGCCCCACGAGGAGCCCGAACGACTCACACCAGGACGAGGGGCCCGAACGACTCACACCACGAAGAGCCCGAACGACTCACACCACAAGGAGGGGCCCGAACGACTCACACCAGGACGAGGCGCCCGAACGACTCACACCACGAGGAGCCCGAACGACTCACACCACGACGCGGGCCCCGAACGACTCACACCACGAGGAGCCCGAACGAGTCACACCAGGAGGAGGGGCCCGAACGACTCACACCAGGATGAGGGGCCCGAACAACTCACACCACGAGAAGCCCGAACGACTCACACCAGGACGAAGAGCCCGAACGACTCACACCACGAAGAGCCCGAACGACTCACACCAGGAAAAAGGGCCCGAACGACTCACACCAGGACGAAAAACCCCAAACGACTCAAATCACGAGGAGCGCTTTCTCTCCCTCCTCCTCCGCCTCGTCCTTCTCCCGCTCCCCCAACAAGGAAGATGTACAAGGAGGCGGGAGGGAGGAGGAACAGGGGAGATATGCGGGGCCAAGCGGACACACGCATGAAAAACACGACTGTCGGCATGCTTCGCAAGAGTTGCTGCTGTGAGATGGGCTGGTGGGGATACGCGAAGCGTAAAGAATTTCAGTAAGATGATGTTGGAATTCGCGGGCATCGCGCCCAACCTGCTGTCGCCGCTGTCCAAGCTGCGCCAGGCGGTTTGGCGCGAATGAGACGAGGTAGATGGCGCTGAAATCCCCCCCCGCCACCGTGCGCTTATGATTTTTGTCACTTGTGTGCGAGCCCCGCCTCTCGCAGGTGAAAATCAACAAACGGGCGTTGGCGACGAATGCATCTGCAACTACGTGACCTGGTACATCAGGACGGCTCAGGCCCCAACGCACGCGATTGCCCCTGCCAGCCCGCCCCCATGCAGCATTCCGCCTGGAGGGCGCTTGCCGCCGAGTTCCGGGCGTGCAAGAACGAGCAGAGGAAGTGCGATACTCGTGTTCGCATGGGCACTCTCATACGTTCTACTTTCGTTTTCCTGCGCGTAATATATCCCCCCGCGCCCCCTCTCGCGCGCCCGAAGCATTTCCGCGCGCGGGCCGTTGCAGAGGACGCGGGGCCCTGGGGCCCGATGTCCAGGGGTGTAGAGCACGTCGCTCTGGATTGGGGGCGGGTGCCAGAATCGGCGCGCATGCGCATCATGGCCGCGATTTCTCAAGGCCGAGAAACCTCCTCCCACGCGCGAGATTGAGCGCCCGACGAAGCGCATGAGCAGCAGCCCGAGGCATATCCGTTTTGTGTTTGTCGTTTGCCTTTCGGTCAAAGTACATTTGGTTGCGCTTCATTCTTGCGTGTCATAGTAGTAGCGCGTTGTTTGTCGATGCGTGGCGCGCTGCTTCGCTGCGTTTTGATGCGCTGCATTTCGTTTGACTTGAAACGCGTAGCTCTGGATGCAAGTGCATGTGCGTACAATCGCACATGCCGTTATACATGCATGCGCACGTGCACGCGTGAGCATGTCCATGCCCTAAAGTTTGGTCATTGCGTGCGTTCGCTTTCGCGCACGCATCCACGTATATCCCTGAAACGCGACCCCATGTTCCTGGATCTTCCAGGCAAGCGATGGGGGCCCGGAGAACATGGGCGAGGTCCTCGACGCCATGACGGCTGACGGCGCCCCCTCAGACCCCCGCGCGCGCCGCCGAAGCCGACTCGCCCGCGCCCCCCCCCCCCCCGCCGCAGAGCCCGAGCGCGGGCTCGCAGGGCTTCCGATTCCACTCTTTCGGCCTCGAGTCTAGCAGCTTCAAATTGATTGCGAAGCTCCTGATTTTCTCGCGCCGCTTTTTGTCGGGCTTCTTTCTCTCCCCCCCTCCTCGCTGCATCGGCCTTTTCTTTGTGTTCACCCTTCTCCATCTCAGCCTTCTGCTGAGAGTCTGACGCCAGTTGTTCAGCTATGCTCTGGATTCTCCATCTTTCGATCTCCTCATGAGCAAGGCGCCTTTGTTTTTCGTCTGTAACTCCTGCTACGTTGGCCTCGGCATGCTGCATCTGTTTCTCCGCATTTTCCGCAATGCTAGTTTTCTCGTGCTCCATATTTCGCGCCGCTGCTTGCCGCTCAGCCTCGGAAACTGCGGGCATTCGTTGAGCCTCTTCGGCGGCCTTCTTATTTTCCTGCGCCTCAGAGATGATATGTTGCATGCGTGCGCTCGCAGCCCTCAGCTGTTCCCGATCCTGTCTATTTCTTTCCGCCCACTCTTGAATCGCGATATGGTGGCAGTTGTGCTCTTCCATCGCGGCGCACTCCTCGCAAAGCCATGCCAGACTACACGCGGGGCAAACGTTCGAACACTGGGAACACACTTGCTTTTTACATGAACCCCCGGTTTGCGCGCTCCCCCCGGGCATCGACCCCCCGCCCGAGCGGGGCGCGACGGCCCGGCGCCCCAGCGGCCCTCCCGCATCGAGAAGCTGCCCGTGGTTTTGTTCGATGACATCCGCGGCGATTCGAAAGCATTAAACCCCCTGGAACTGGAGCGCCCGGCCCAGGGGGCCTTACTGGAACGCCCACTTTCACTGCTGGGGGTCGGCGCGTGTTGTTCTTTTATTCTCGCACTCCTCTGGATGATATCAACGCCCATGCTCCGTGCTAAATCGTCTCTTCTGCCCTGCCCTACGAGCTCATCAAGTTATGGTGCCCTGCCCCTGTTAATCCTAAACAATGAAAAATCGAATGCGTTGGAGCCCTGCAGTAGAGGCGAGGCGTTGAAGTCATCGTTCTCACCCTTCGGTATCTTCGTCAATGGATGGGAAGTCGCGCCTGTAGTTTCTCGCGTATTCCTCGCTGCGCGCATTGCGTCGGGGCAGCTCGACATCGGCCGCGCCGACGGGCATCCACCTCGGTCTGGGCCCCCCTCCGTCTCCGAGATCGTCGTCCGAATCAAGTATGGCCTCCTGACTGGCCTCAACCGTTGCATGGTCAACCGTCGCACTCACTAACAGGTCTGAGCCCGAGGCGAGCCCGACGCGCCGGACGCGATTGGACCAGGCGAAGCGTGGAATCGGGCATATTTGTCGTTCTTTTCAATCGAATGAGAACTACCCCCTTCAGATAGCAACTCGCTCATATCCTCGCTCGGCCCATGCAGCGCGCACCGCGCCGCGCGCCCTGCGCCTAGGATTTCGGCGCCCGACATTTCGACGGGGACGCGTGATCCAACAACTTTTCCATCTCGAGATCTACGTCGATCGATGGCTGGAAGCCAGGGTGTACCGACACCGACTCAGATGGTCCCTCGGCGGAAGTTTTGGCTGCGTCTCACCTTCCGCCTGAGGATTGCGCTCTGGGTCTTGTAACCGAATCAACCGATGAATCGCCTTCTGTCAAATCAAACGCAGTCTCTGATGCTTTCTTCCTGGGAAGGTTGAGGTGATTTTGTCGCCTCGTTGAGGAGCCTGTACTTTCGCTGCGCTCGGAAAGGTATCGAACTTCTGTTCGTCCGAGCGCTCCTCCTTGCGATCCCATGCTCTGCGAAGCTAACGGCTGCGCCGTCGTTTCGGCTGATAACCAATCTTTTGCCTGCATAGTCATAATCCCTGCAAGATGTTCCGACCATCTATCATGGTCAGTGGGCTCCGCCGATGACATGGGCAAGACAGGATAATGCCATCAAGCATACACGAAAGTAACAGTGAAGGGAGGGGGCCGGCCCGCTGGCCGACGCGCGCGCGCGCCGCAGACTCGTTTTTTTTTCCCGCTTCCCTAGAGCCAAAATCATATAGCTGCGGAAGCAGAAACAGTCAGTCTGCGCGACGGGCAGCGCGCGCGAGGAGAAAGAGCAGGCAGGGCGAAAGGTTGGTGGTGCGGAAGGGGTGCATTGACTGATCACGTCCTGCCCGGCTGGCGGGTCTGCGCGGGCAAAGCGAACGGTCGGGTCCCGAGGCGCGGTGCCTCGGAGCGATGGCGCCCCAAATCGTCGTGCCCTCCGCTGCGTCCCGGCTCGATCCCAAGGCTTTCGAGACTCAGTCCCAACAAATTCGGGAATTTATTCTGCCACCGCAAATCTGAACGCTGTGTCGAGCAATTGTCTGACGCCTGCGGCTGCCTCCGCGGGCGGGAGCGCTGACGGTTTAAGGTCCGCGGGCTGCTAGGACACATTCCGAACATGCCTGGGATGGGTCGCATATCGGTCCCTGTAGATCTTGGTGGTGCTGTCATTGATGATGTACTGGTTGTGCACGGGCCAGGTCACTGGTCCTGCCAGAACGAAGGGGGGAAGTGCACGAACGCGATGAATTTGAAGGCGGTTGGCCGAAATCGAAGGCGGCGGGAAGTGGAAACCACTGCGGTCGGCACGTAGCGAGACATGGCGGCACAGGTGGGAGCAGGGGCGGACCTGCTCCGCTGTCAACTAGAAATGAGGATGTAGATGTGGACATGTGAAGGATTCGGGTTTTCTGAAGGCGGAATGTGCTATGTGTGTGGGATACCAGAACGGCGCATCCAACGCAGGCACGGAACCTTTTTGCCAACTTCCGCGCACCAGAACCAAAAAAACAGCGGCAAGGGGAGACCATTACAACAGGCAAAGGTGAGAAGGGACAAGTGAACTATTGTCCGAGTCGGACGTGGAGGAGGAGAAGGAGGAGCAGGAGGAAGAGGATGATGATGACGAGGAGGAGGCGGAGGAGGGGGCAGCACTCCCAACAAGAGTGAACAAAGGACGCAGAGGAGGGGCGGCGCTGCTCGCGGGATCGGATCGGCTCGGCCGCCCGCGCAGGAGGGGTCGAGCCCATGCCGGGCGAGCAGTCAGCTTATTTCTGGCCGATCGGTCGAGAACGGCCCTGCCAGGGGCCAGGGCAGCTCGGGGACGGCGCTCCTCACAGGACGGCCCTCCCTGGCGCGCCCCCACCCCCTCTCCAGGGCCGAATCCGAGGCCCAGCTCGACGAGGGCCGACGCAGACAGGGCCGAGCGGGCACCTCTCCACGAGCTCGTCGTCGCCCGGCAGGGGCGCCTCCACGGCCCACCCCTTCTCAGGGGGAAGCGAGAGGACGGCGAGCGGCGTAGCGCGGGTCGGCTGCGCGCCGAGGCGGTACGTTTTCGGGCATCTTCGTCGGTCCTCCGCGGTTTTCCAGCCCCGGGATGCGTGGCAGCGGCTGCGCCTCGCCGAGAGGCGTCTGGAGGTGCCCGGGGTCGTCCCGAGCGTCCGCCGGGGACCCGAGCTGTGGCCCGAGAACCAAGCTCGGCGGCAGGCCGAGGGAGGCAGCGAAATGGGGCAGGCCTTTCCAGAAGGGGGCAGGGCTTCTCCGAAGCCCTCGCGCCTTCTGACAGGCCTCCTGCGGCTCCGGAGAAGGCTTCGGCACCTCCTCCTCAAGGGCGGAGGCCTACTGAGGAGGCCGAAACCCCGACCTCCGCCGATGCGATGTTTTGAGGCCGCGGCCCCAGAAAGCTGCTGTTCGCTGCCCCTGGGCTAGTTTGTCGTCCCGGGTCCACCGGTAGCCCCAGGGCCCGACAACGAGGCCCAGAAGCCGAAGTCGAGGAACAAGAATGCATTCCCCCCCAGGCTCGCCGCCAAACAGGGACTTGAGCAGCCCAGAATGGGGGCACTGCTGCTAATACACAGAGGGGGCGCTTGAGGGCGCCAGTGGAAGCGTCGCTTTGGCTGGCGCGCGGAACTCTGTGCATCAGCTCCCGCTGCTAAGGTGAGAACGACGTCATGATAAGATTGACTCGATTAACCTTCCAAGAATTCCGCAGCATCTGTCTAGCAGCCAGCGTTTCCGCAGCCCGCGTGGAGCATCGAGGCAGTATTGGAGATCCTGTCGTTCTCACGATCTTTTGCCACTCCGAGCTGCAGTTCGCTGGCCGAGTCCCATCCTTCCCGACAAGCACACAAACACAGTGTGTGACACAGCGGCCAAAGGAGCGAGAGCGGGCGGGAGCGGCGGGAACGAACGAAAACAGAAGGATCCATGGTCTGCAGAGCAGTTGACTTAGCAGGGTGTGATCCGCGGCTGAGCGCTGAAGCGGCCCAAGGGCCAGCCCACCAACTACGCGACACCCCACGCCACGATCACCCGTCCCACGACCCCCCTCCCCTTTCCATCCGCCCCTTCCCTTCGCCCCTGCCTCGCTGCTCTCCTCTCCCCTGTCTTCCTATCCCGTCCTGCTACCCTCTCCGAGCTGCGACCGCGCCGGGCAAGCGCAAGCTCCTCCGCACCTCCTGCCCCGTCCTGCTACCCCTCTCCGAGCTGCGACCGCGCTGGGCAAGAGCAAGCTCCTCCGCACGCGGTTTCAGCGGGAGCGGCCAAGAGGGGGGCGTCCAAGAGGGGGGGGGGGGGGGGGGAAATCATGACCGGCGGCATGTGCGCGGCCCAGCGGGGGGGCCAGAGACGAAATGAAACAAGAAGAGGCGCCATGAGATCTGGGGAAAAATCATGGCCCACGCCATGAAATCCCCCCCCCCCCTAGTCATCACCCCCCTCTTTGCCGCCCCCGACGCACGCGGTTTCAGACATCTGGCTGCTCCAATTTTCTTGGTGCGTGGACCCCAGAGGTCCCGACCATTTCCCCGGGGCCCGTTTTCCCTCCCGAATCGTTCTTTGACGCTCCCGAGGCCCCGCGAGGGCCCCCGGAGGCTGAAAACTGCCAAAATTCCGCCGCTCCAATTGTTGTTGGAGCGTCGGATCTCAGGGTCCGCACGCGGCTTCAGGCCGGCGTGCTCACTCCCCGCCACGCCGGGCACGGTGCCGGCAGCAAGGGCACGGGGCAGGCCGCCCGCAGCGCCGCCGCAGCGCCGCCGCAGGCGCGCGGGCGAGGCAAGGTCCCTCGCGCACATCATGCTCATGAAGAGGGGAGGAGGAGGAGGAGGAGGAGGAGGAGGAGGAGGAGGAGGAGGAGGAGGAGGAGGGAGGAGGAGGGAGGGGGGAGGAGGGGGAGGCCGGACAGTGGGCGCACGTGGCACACTCAGCGGGCGGCGCGCGCCTGGCGCAGAAGCGGCGCCGGAGGGATGGGCGAGGCAGGCTGTGAATCTGCGAGGACCCCTCTCCTCACCCCCTCCTCCTCCTCCTCCTCCTCCTCCTCCTGCTCCTCCTCCTGCTCCACCTCCTCCGCCCCCTCCTCCTCCTCCTCCTCGTCCTCCACCTGCCCTCCCGTCCCTGCTGGTGGTCTGGGAGTACACCACGTCCACGGCGAGGTCGGAGCTAGTGGCCGCCTGCCGTCTGCGCAGGTGGGCGGCAGGCACTGCTCGGGCGGAGAAGTCACTGGTAGGGCAAGTGCAAGCATGCAGTACACATATCCCCTGCCTCTATTCCTATGTATGCACACATAGACATCTGAATCATGGTTCGACAATCGTGTGCCCCCCTGCGTTTGAAGGAAAACTAGATCTCTGTAGTAGCACCACAACGCGTACGACCCGAGGTTCGAGGCCGAACCCGCATGTTCGTGGCCAGCACTCTCTCCCCCTCTGTCTCTATCCCTCGTTTTCTTTCTCTTTTCGTTGTTTGTTCCCAACCATCCTGAGGTGTTGGGTCCTCGTTTTGAAGAGACAGCGCCCTGCGTTCACTCCTCCTCCTCCCGCTGCCCCCTCCCTCCTCCTCTCATCATCATCATCATCATCATCATCATCATCATCATCATCATCATCATCATCATCATCATCATCATCAGCAGCATCATGATCATCATCATCATCATCACCATCATCATCATCAGCATCATCATCACCATCATCATTATGCAAGGGGCTAGCCGTATCATCATCATCATCATCATCCTCATCATCATCATCATAATCATCATCATCATCATCACCACCATCATCATCATCATCATCATCATCATCATCATCATCATCATCATCACCATCATCGTCATCATCATCGACATCGTCACCGTTACCGTCCTCGTCCTCGTCCTCGTCATCATCATCATCATCATCATCATCATCATCACCATCATCGTCATCATCATCGACATCGTCACCGTTACCGTCCTCGTCCTCGTCCTCGTCCTCGTCATCATCATCATCATCATCATCATCATCATCATCATCATCATCATCATCATCATCATCATCATCATCATCATCATCATCATCATCATCACCCATTTCGGCACACCATTCACACGTTTCGTGGCCCCACAGGGAGCTCCACCGAAGGCCCCACTGAGGGTGCCCGCATGCGTCCGCCACACCCAGTGCAGCGTTTCGTGGCCCCACGGGGAGCTCCACCGAAGGCCCCAGTGGGGGTGCCCGCATGCGTCCGCCACACCCAGAACAGCGTTTCGTGGCCCCATAAGGGGGTTCCACTGAAGGCCCCAGTGGGGGTGCCCGCATGCGTCCGCCACACCCAGCACAGCGTTTCGTGGCCCCACAGGGAGCTCCACCGAAGGCCCCATTGGTGGTGCCCGCATGCGTCCGCCACACCCAGTACAGCGCTTCGTAGCCCCATAGGGAGCTCCACCGAAGGCCCCAGTGGGGGGGGTCGCATGCGGCTCCCCCACCCAGGGCAACGCTTCGTGGTTCCATAGGGAGCTCCACCGAAGGCCCCAGTGGCTGCTCTCGCATGCGGTTCCCCCACCCAGGGCAGCGTTTCGTGGTCCTATAGGGAGCTCCACCGAAGGCCCCAGTGGCTGCTCTCGCATGCGGTTCCCCCACCCAGGGCAGCGCTTCGTGGCCCCATAGGGAGCTCCACCGAAGGCCCCAGTGGCTGCTCTCGCATGCGGTTCCCTTACCCAGGGCAGCGTTTCGTGGCCCCATAGGGAGCTCCACCGAAGGCCCCAGTGGCTGCTCTCGCATGCGATTCCCTTACCCAGGGCAGCGCTTCGTGGCCCCATAGGGAGCTCCACCGAAGGCCCCAGTGGCTGCTCTCGCATGCGGTTCCCCCCACCCAGGGCAGCGTTTCGTGGCCCCGTAGGGAGCCCCACCGAAAGCGGCACCCACAACGCGTTACGAACAATTGCTTATGGTTGGGTCCTTCGCCAGGATAAATATATAGATCTCGCATCTTTCTATATTTTTCCGCCGGCCCCCTTGCGGGACCACCGGGCTGTAGGCCGAAGGTTCGCAGTTTCCTGTACTAGTTGCAGCTTCCAGTTTCCACGGTTACAGTTCTGACTATTGCTGCTTACTGTTCCTTGTTGACTTCTTGCTGCTCAGTGTTCTTTGTTGATGGACCGCGCGAGGGGGGAGGCCCAAAACGGGCATTTTTACCAAGCCCTGAGCGTGTTGTCTGAATTGCTGGGGTGGCTGAAAATTCACACCCCTCACGCAGATCGGCGGGGTCAGGGTCCAAAAACACATGGGATTTGCCACATGTCCGAAATCCGGTGACACCCCGCACGCAAATCGGCGGGGCCAGGGTCCAACGACGCATGGGATTTGCCACATTTCTAAAATCCGCTGGCACCCCTCACGCAAATCGGCGGGGCCAGGGTCCAACGACGCATGGGATTTGCCACATTTCTAACATTCGGTGGCACCCCTCACGCAGATCGGCGGGGTCAGGGTCCAAAAACACATGGGCTTCTGAAATTCGATGGCACCCCTCACGCAAATCGGCGGGATCAGGGTCCAAAAACATGTGGGATTTGCTACATTTCTGAAATTCGCTGGCACCCCTCACGCAGAGCGGGATTTGCCACCACATGTCTACTGAAACCTCCCGACACCCCCCACCTGGCCCCCCATTGCGCCCCGGCATCCCCAGGCCTCTGAGACTCTGTTCTTGGGACCACGCACTCGACAATTTCTGGCCCGAAACCGACCGATACCCCCCATCTGACCCCCCACCGCGCCCCGGCATCCCCAGCCTCTGGAACCCCTGTTCTTGGGACCCCCCACTCGACAATTTCTAGCCTGAAACCTACCGATACCCCCCACCTGGACCCCCACCGCGCCCCGGCATCCCCAGGCCTCTGGAACTCTGTTCTTGGGACCACGCACTCGACAATTTCTAGCCTGAAACCCACCGATACCCCCCACCTGGCCCCCCACCGCGCCCCGGCATCCCCAGGCCTCTGGAACTCTGTTCTTTTTTTTTGTTTTGTTCCTTGACACGTGCAAGGCGAAGTACAGCAGCAGTAATCCGACTGATGGGGCAACGTCGGGCCTCGCCTCCGACGAAGCGCGCTCCACAGCATCGAAGGCAAGGAATATCTATACAGGGCTCACAATGGGTAGCTCGCTGACTGTCACTTCGACCTCGAGGTCAGACGTTGAGAAGACGCTGTTTGACACGTAGGCCTCGAGGTGAGACACCATTAAAAAAAAACGCGGGGATCAAAAGCCGGCACGGGATCGATACCAGTGAATGTGCACATCGAGGCGGAATACTTTCCTAGATTGGTTTCACAATCTTCCCGTCGAGCGTGCGGAAGCGATGTGCGCATAGATACAGGGCACCTGTAACTGGTACTCGCAGGTGACGAGACCCAGGTACGCCACCCCGAGGCACAGAGGCACACTCCGCAAGAGACTCCGCGCGGCATTGTTGCAGCGTCGGCCGAGACGGTGTGTGTGATGTTGACGCGCGTCGCAGCAAGCAAAGCCAGGAAAGGTCCGGTCGGACGGCATCAAAGCGGCGACGGCGAACTTATAAAACAGGTGATGCAATATTAACTGTCGTGATTGGTACGCGTGGAGGTAAAACGAAGATTCCTCCCTTTACAACCGAGCCGGCCCGCTGCCGAGCCGACCCGAACGGGCCCCCATGCTGGGGGAGGGAAGGAGGGGGAGGCAAGGGGGAGGGCGACGGAAATCAATTGTTCAGATACTTGGCATGATTGGTTTCCATGATCGACAACTTCGGTCATAAAAAAACAGCTCCCGGAATGCGTGAGCTAAACTCGGCTCGTCGCTGTTCTGCACAAAAGTAGAACGCGCGTGGTGCAGGTGGTGATGTCGGTGCTCAACCTGTCATACATGCAGTCTCTTTCATCGCTAAGATCGCCACCATTAACTCGGAAGCGCTAGGCAACAGCGGAGTGCTTCTGCGCGACGCTCTGCCAGCGAGCGATTCGCCCCGCCTGGAGCATCTTGTCGCACGCGTCGAGCCTCGACCAAGACGGGAGCAGCTGCCCGAGCAGCAAGTCTCGAAGACTGCGGTCGAAGGCGTCGTGGTCTGGGATGCTGCCCAGGATCGCCTCCTTGTCCTCTGGCATGCTGGCCTGCGCGCTGGTGATCTTCAGGTCGACGAGTCCGCCCTGCTTCTTCTCCAGGTGGGTCAGGGACGGCAGCTGCAGTGACTGGGACATGCCTGTTGAGCCAGCGGCAGCAATCTCGGCCACGCACCAAGCCCTGTTGAAGATCTCGAAGCTCTTGTCAACTGCAACCACCTGGGCGAACTTATCGTTGCCAGCTGACAGAGACATCATCAGTTGATCGAACTTGTTCATCTCACACGCCAAACTCTGTCGCCTGGGACGTGAGCATTGCCCGTTGCTCGTAAGAGGCGGAGTGGTGTTGAACGCTTTTGGTAGGCCGCAAGTGCAGAGGGGGTAGTGTTCGTTCGTCACTGAGTCCCTCCTTGAACATAGGTTTGCAGCGCAGATGCTGGTGTGCTGATTCACCGAGAAAGCGCACACCCAGTACGTTCGTGATCCAACTTTTGACTGTGCAACCCACCTCATGAGGGTGTCGATGTCGTTAATGAGCAGGACCGCCACCTTGCAGTATTCCACCTCGGAGAGAGCGTCTGACGCAATAGCCGCAACCAAATCGGAAAAGATGTTTCCCCAGTTGTGAGTCACCATCTTGTCGGGCAGCACAGGGCGGTGGTCCATCATGATTTCCGCCATAGAAGTTTTGCTATCTGCCGAAAGCGGAATGATGGCGCCTCGGACCACGTCCTCCGTGGTGTGCCTGTAAGGGTCGAAGTACGGCATCACGTCCTTGCCCAGCCTACAGTAGAACTCCAGCAGCGCCTGCAGCGTGAAGCCCCTGCCGGCCAACTCGTCGACTTTGGCGTTCCAGTCCGTATCGGGGTGCGGGTTCCACTCCGAGGAGAACTGCTTCCAAGTGCGATGGCGCTGACGCGCCGAGCGGATCGTGGACAAGCCTCCGCGGAGTGCCCCGAAGCAGGCTCCACTCAGGGCCAGGGCCGCAAAGGCGTTCAACGTGGTGTCGACCAAGCTTGCACACTGCACCGCGATCAAGAACTCGGGCGTCCTCTCGTCCACAGGACGCCCGGGTATTGGCCAAGCCAGATCCGATGCCCACATTCTCACCATGAGTGCGACAAAGAAGCTCACGACCGCCATAGATGATCCCAGCATCTGAAATATCAGAACCCGAGGGACGCTCTTGACCTTCTCGGAGGACTCCCCTCGCCGCTGCGTCTCGCGCGTCATCGCCAACACTCGCCAGAACGCGCGCAAGAATACGGCCACCCCCATCAAGAACGACAAATCTGTAAGCCAAATGAGAGTGCCCATTATGATACGCGACGGATGGCCCGGAGGTCCGCCCGCGAACCTGCTGCAGATGAACGCGGACATGCCGAAGATTGACATAGTCACTATCATTCGGCGAAGGCGCAGGGAGCCGAGATCAAGAAACGAACTTCGTTCCAACGCCCTTACCTGACGCAGCAGCAGCGAATAGAATAGTGCCATGTTCAGGGGTATCAACAAGCCACTGAACATGGCAAATTTCTCCCCGTTCAGACCGTTGCATTGGAGCAAACTGTATACCGCGAAAGACATCACTTCCAACCAAAGACAGGCCACGTACTCTGCAACTCTGCACATGTGACTCGTGGCCGCGAAAGCGAGCAAGATGAACGCGGGCGGCGCGGTGACCGCAAGGGCCACGACCTGCACGACGAAGAAGCCGCGGTGCGCTTCCGCCGACTCCGCGGCGCTCAGATGCCGCATGCGCACGAAATCGTCCACCTTGTGCTCGCACTCCTTGACGGTCCCCTTGCCACCGCCCGCGATGGCGGCTACGACCACGCTCACAGTTAGAACGACCACCAGCACTGCGAGCGCTCTGTGCACCACGCCGCGCAGGCCTTGCAAAAAACTTGCGCAGAGACCAGCGTGTCTGCAGCGCTTCTTCGCGTTCTCGACACCCGCGGCAGAGGTCTTCATGTTTTCGGGTCGCTGGTGGTTAGCAGCAGCGGTGTGCCTGCCCCACGAGAACGCTGCAGGATTCGGGCACGAGGTGCCCGAGCCAAAACGGTCTGAGCCGTAGTGGCTTGAGCCAAAATGGCTACGGAGGCCTCTGGAACTCTGTTCTTGGGACCCCGTACTCGACAATTCCTGGCCTGAAACCTACCGATACCCCCCACCTCGCCCCGGCATCCCCAAGCCTCTGGAACTCTCTTCCTGGGGCCCCACACTCGAAAACTTTCTAGCCTGAAACCTACCGATACCCCCCACCTGGCCCCCCACCGCGCCCCAGCATCCCCAGGCCTCTGGAACTCTCTTCGGGACCCCGCACTCGACAATTCCTGGCCTGAAGCCTACCGATACCCCGCATCTGGCCCCCCGCCACGCCCCAGCATCCCCAGGCTTCTGGAACTCTCCTCTTGGGACCCCGCACTGGACAATTTCTAGCCTGCAACCTACCGATGCCCCCCACCTGGCCCCCCACCGCGCCCCGGCATCCCCAGGCCTCCAGAACTCTATTCTTGGGACCACGCACTCGACAATTCCTGGCCTGAAGCCTACCGATACGCCGCATCTGGCCCCCCGCCACGCCCCAGCATCCCAAGGCTTCTTGAACTCTGTTCTTGGGACCCCGCACTCGACAATTTCTAGCCTGAAACCTACCGATACCCCCCACCTGGACCCCCACCGCGCCCCGGCATCCCCAGATCTCTGGATTTTTTTCTTGGGACCCCGCACTCGACAAGTTCTAGCCTGATACCTACCGATACCTCACACCTGGCCCCCCACCGCGCCCCGGCGCCCCCAGGCTTCTGGAACTCTGTTCTTGGGACCCCGCACTCGCCAATTTCTAACCTGAAACCTACCGATACCCCCCACCTGGCCCCCAGCCGCGCTCCAGCATCCGCAGGTCTCTTCAACTCTGTTTTTGGGGCCCCGCACTCGACAATTTCTAGCCTGCAACCTACCGATACCCACCACCTGGCTCCCCGCCGCGCCCAGGCATCCCCAGGTCTCTGGAAGTCTTTTCTTGGGGCCCCGCACTCGACCATCCTGGCCTCAAATCTCGCGATACCCCCCACCTGGCCCCCCGCCGCGCCCTGGCATCCTCAAGCCTCTGGAACTCTGTTCTTGGGACCCCGCACTGAACAATTTCTAGCCTGAAACCTACCGATACCCCCCACCTGGCCCCCCGCCGCGCCCTGGCATCCCCAGACCCCTGGAACTCTCTTCCTGGGACCCCGCACTCGACAATTTCTAACCTGAAACCTACCGATGCCCCCCAGGCACCTGGAACTCTGTTCTTGGGGCCCCGCACTCGACAATTCCTGGCCTGAAGCCTACCGATACTCCCCATCTGGCCCCCCCACCGTGCCCCGGCATCCCCGGGCTTCTTGAACTCTGTTCTTGGGACCCCCCGCTCGACAATTCCAAGCCTGAAACCTACCGATACCCCCCACCTGGCCCCCCACCGCGCCCCGGCATCCCCAGGCCTCTTGAACTCTGTTCTTGGGGCCCCTTCAGATCGCTCCAAGACGGCCCACGAGGCCCCGAAGAGAGTCCGTAGCCATTTTGGCTCAGGCGACTTCCTCTTCCGACCTCCTCCTTCCGATCTCTTCCTCCCGATCCTCCTCCTCCCGACCTCCTCCTCCCGACCTCCTCCTCCCGACCTCTTCCTTCCGACCTCCTCCCTCCGACTTTGTCCTCCCTTTGTCCTCCTCCTCCTCCTCCTCCTCCTCCTCTTCCTCGTCTTTATCCTCCTCCTGCCTCCTCTCGTGAGATCCCTCCACCGTGTTCACTCCTCATTTCCCGCTGCTCCCTTCACCGTTATCATCCTGCACCCCTCTTCTTGCTCCTGCTGCTGCTGCTGCTCCTCCTCCTCCTCCTCCTCCTCCTCCTCCTCCCCCTCCTCCTCCTCTTCCCTACCTTCCTCTTCCTCGTCCTCTTCTTCCCTATCTTCCCTCCTCCTCCTCCTCCTCCTCCTCCTCCTCTTCTTTCCCCGCGTCCCTTATTTCAACCCCGTGCGTTCGTCCACCTCCTAGCAGGCATGCCGGGGCGGCGCAAGGCAGAAAAGCATGCGGAACAAAACTTCCGCATGCAACTCTGGAAGTGACGATGATTATTGTCGTCGTGATGTGGTCGACGTGATTGTCGAGATAGTACAGCGGACGAGGTTGTGGGAAGACGATGGAGGAGAAGAAGCAGGAGGTGAAGGAGTGAGTAGAAGGCGACGCCGTGCCGCCCGCAGGCTCAAGCCTTGAGTGGCTGCACATCGCGCGCCCACTTCTCTCGCGCACGGGGGCGGGGGGCATGGCGAAAGAAGAAGAAGAACAAGTGCCCCCTGCTTTCCCAGGGGCGGTTGCGCCCACTGCAGTCTCAGTGGTGGCCCTTCCCAGGGGGATTGTACCCGGTGGGAATCCCTCTGCCGAGGCGACCTGCCTTCCCGGGGGCTTTGCGCCCGGCGATCATACGTGTTTCCCATGGTCGCTGCTGCCAAGTCGGGACAGGTCGGACAGGGCCAAGGTGAGCACAGGTCGTAGCAGAGAGGAATGCAGGATAAATTTGAACTTCATTCTTCTTCGTGCGACTTCCAGAAGGGGGAAACGTTGCGAATTTTGCAATTTCCGTGTCGGCGCGGTGGTTCTCGTTGCGTCTACGCGGCCCGTCAGTGGCACGGTAGCAAGCGCGCGCGTCGCGGCGTTGCTGGCGTCCCATGTTGCAAGTGTGGGCGCGGTGCTGGTTGCCGCCGCCGTGCGCGTGGCAATTCGAGTCGGAATCGCGGCGATCGTTTCTTTGTATGCGTTTTCTTTGCCTTTTCGTCGCAGAAGGGAAATGCGCTTGGGATGTGGGGGTGTCCCCCTATTGCGCTCGACGCCCAGAAGGGGGAAGCGCTCGCGAATGTTCAAATCCCACCAGCCCTCTGGGCGTCGGTGGTTTAGGGCGTTTCCTCTTCCACTCCTCCCTCTTCCCCTTCGGGGAGGGGTTTACCCCTCCCCCGACCCCCTCCCCACTGACCTGGACAGGAGGGGCGGGGAGCGGTCAGAGCGTCCAAAACAGCCTCGGCGAGGAAGCCAAAATCATTGATTTTAGCAGGGTTTTGGCCCCATGTTGGCCTCCTGGGGGGGCGACGCTAATTAAAGCTCAGCTCTTCTTTGATAGATCTCCTCCAAGATGGCACAAAGAAGCGCCCAGGAGGCCCCAAGAGGTCCCAAGATGGCCCCAAGATGGCCCCAAGAGGCCCCCAAGAGGCCCCCAGAAGGCCCCCAAGAAGACCCTCAGAGGCCCCAAGAGGCCCCCCCCCCCGAGGCACCCAAGACCCCGAAGAGCCCCCCAGGATCGCCAAGAGACCCCCAAGACGTCCCAAGAGGCCCCCAAGAATCGCCCAAGAGATACTCCAAGAGGCTCCTAGAGGCATCCAAGAGACCTCTGGCCCTTGTGCTTGCCCTCCTCCTCCTCCTCCTCCTCCTCCTGTTCCTCCTTCCTGCTCCTACTCCTTCTCTTCCTCCTCCTCCTCCTCCTCCTCCTCCTCCTCCTCCTCCGCCGCCTCATCCTATTCATCCTCCGTCTTCCCACTCCCTCATCCATCCATCCATCCATCCACCTCCTCCTTCTCCTCCTCACTCCTTTGCACGGTTCGGCCGTCCTCCTCTTTGCTGCCGCACTTCCCTGATCACCTCAACTCGCCTGGACATCGTTTCGGGATGGGCTGGTGGGGATAAGCGAAGCGTCTAGAATTCCCTCTTCGACGCGTTAGTTTTCGCTGTGGTCATGTTGCCCGTCAGTGGCGAGGTGCCAGGCGTTCGCGTCGTGGTGTTGCTGGCGTCCTTTGTCGCATAGGTGGGTGCGACGCTGGCTGCCACCGTCGAGATGCTGGCATTGCGCGCCGAAAACGCGGCGCTTGTACTGGGCCAGGTTCCGCTTGGGCTGGTGTTGGTGGTGATGTTTGCTGCACTTGTTCTCGCGTTGGTGCTGCCTGCGCTCGCACGGCTCGCCGTCGCGCAGGTTCTGCCCCCACCCCGTGGTTGCAACCTCGAGGACGTCACTGCGTCGCAAGCGGACGCTCAGCACATTCAGAGCACTTTTTTCGTGGAGCGACTGGAAGCCACAGACGACTGCACGCGGCGCAATCGCACAACGCCGCGTTCCAATTAAAGCGAACGGCGGTCGGCGGCGAGAGTTCCTTTTTTGACTTATGGCGTGCGTGGGCGTTCGCAGGGTTGGGCTGCAGCGGACATTCCGCAGCGTTCTTTCGGCGCAGGTTGATGCGTTCTGGTAGGGGGGCACGTCGCGTAGACCGGGCGCGAAAGACTCGCTCGCGGCGCTCGCCGGGCGTCGGCGTGAACCGTCGAGCGTTGCGCAAGCGCTCAAATTCGCCAATGGACGCAGCCGTCGCATCGACCGAGGAGCGGTGCCGTCAGCGCCCCGGACACCTGGGAGTGGCCCGCGCTGGTCGAGAGGGAATGAGCGCCAGAGGAGGCGCGCAGAACTGGCGGGGCGCGGTGCTTTGGGAGTCGGGGCCGCGGGCCATCTGATGTTGCGAGGCGCGGTGTTCTGGATGATATATGCGGGGTGCGCTTCCGCGCTTGCGACCCCAATGCTCGCGTCCGACGACGATGCGCTGGGCGCCTCTGAGAATATGTGTTTGCAGGTGGCCGTGGCGAAACTTCGTCGAAGGCGAGCGCGGAGAGATGCGATGCGCTTCCTTGCGCGAGAGCGCCAGAACAACGTGGGCTCAGGAGAGGGCGGCGCGGGGTCCGCGGGATGGGGGAACGCGGCCGCCGTGGAAAGGTGGCTGCGGAAGCAGCACTTGTCTGCGTGGGTGTATGAGGCCGAGGGTGCCGGCGATCTCATGTGGGATGCGCCCCGACGTCGATGGCCATTGGAGGCCGGCGCGGGTGGCTGTTTGGGCGCGGTCGTGCGGCTGTCAGCAGAGCATGCGGTTCGAGTGCGCCGCGGGCGGGGCGCCCTCGCGAGTCTCGCGGCGCGCGGGGGCGCGGAGGGCCCCCCGTGGGCGCGGTCGATGGCGCGGGGCCCGAGCGGAAGAACGTCGCGTGCAGGCGAGGGCGCGCTGCGCGAGTCGCGCGAGCGCGAAGATCCCGGAAACGACAAATGCAAAGTCGAGGAGGACCTCCGGTCGGCGCCCGGTTCAGCGCGCGAGACAA